GAAACTTTTTGCGGTGCATTAATAAAATTGATTTTCTAACTCATTACCATCGCAGTTGGCAATGTGTGGCAAAAACGTCAACATATTCTATTTTGTTTGGTTGAAAAAAAAAAGCTTTTGCATACAAAAAGCAGCGATTCGCTCACGATCTTGGGCATGTGTGAAGTAATGATCCACGTTTTTGGTTCAATGCACTCACGAATCTTCATTTTTCGTAATGTCTAATAGCGTGACGATGAATTCATTTATTCCTACAGGTCTGCATTATAGATATTTAAGCTTTTAATTGGTTTTTATTTTGGTTCTCTACGGATTGCGCTCTTATATTAATCTTCATTTGTTTTACTATTTTAAAGTATTACTATACTATTTTATTAAAATTAAAATGTTGTGTGGGTGGAAACGTCTGGGTTGCTTATATCCTGCTCAGTGCTCAGTTACTGCTTCCACAGTTCAACGCACTGTGTTTAGTCCGCGGTTATATTTTCCGTTTTCCACGGACGGCTGGCGAGTCGGCACGACCTTATTACTCGGTTACCTATTCCTGAGTTTTTGATAACTCCAGGAAGAGTAACTTTGACCTTTTTACAATGATTAGAGGTGGTAGGTACTCGAGATGCGTTAAAATTTCAGCACAGGGCCATTTATTATCAAAACCCCACATACGATTCCTTAAAAAAACTGCTCTTGTACTGTATCTTTTTTATTCCTATGATACCATTATTGTTTTTTATATACTATTAAATTGTTTAAATTGCTTGAATTTAGCCGGCCGCCAACAATAAATTGTTCTGATGTGTGTAGGTCATTATGTGATGTGCAGTTACAAAAACTAAAAGGTGTTCTTAATTATTATCAGCGCTGACTCAAGACTCTGTGGAACATTGTCTAAAATATTTGATTATCGTCCAACAATCGGTCCACCCGGGTCACCCGATAAGTTGGAGAGACTCGATAACAGATGCATTACGAAAGTATTACTGTGCGCCGATAATTTAAACAATAGGCTCTGTTTGAACGGAGCCCTAAATTACTCTCTATATAGTATAGAATCGTGCCAGGTTAAGGAACTGTGAACGCGCACTGCAAGATGCAGTCATCTGTTTGCGATGCACTCGACGTTGCATGTACCGTTACAGACATAGCTTCAGATCCAGTGCTATAATGAGCATTGGAAAGTCTAGCTAGAAGCTTTCATCTAACAGTCCCTGTCGATTGAACCGCAGAACTTTATGTGCAATAAATGCTGCGCTTGCACTTTACAACTGAGCTTTGAACTGTTGTACTTAGTCAGTGTCAGTGCATTGTATAATTGGAAATCATTTAACTCATAGATAGCTGTGTCTATTGTATGCATGTTTAAATGTAATATTTGGTATTAAAAGATTTTCGTCTTCTATGATTATGTGATAGCTTTCTTAAGTGCTTCTTTCTGAAATCTGTTAATATCCCTTTTAATAACCTTTAGATTATCTAGAAATTTGGTAAAAGTGATCAAAAATAATATTCACGTTTTCCGTTTTTATGGTTGTGGATCTTGCATGGATTCTACTTTAATTTGAAAGAGGTTTTATTGAGTTGTAATATGATATACTATATGTTTAGTCGAATCAACCTTAAAAATGGTAGTAAATAAAAGTAATGCAGATATCTGCAACAGTAAGGGAAAATGTTACACGTGGGTTTACCAACACATTTTGTCAGAAGTATGCACAGCGGCAAAGTCTCTCTCTCCATTATCCCACTAATAAAGACTGTCACAACCACAATGATGACATAGAATCTCTGTCAACAAATAACCGGAGTTCTGAAAAGAGCCATGCTTATTCCATACCTCTATCACTGTTCAAATATGACTAACAGTACAGTGAATGGGAGTAGTACGGTAGCGTTATTAACTTGGCTATTGGTTAGTGCGACCGAATCCAGGTCACGTTATCGTATGTAATGTTTAGTTAGTATTACACCTGTGCTAAGGATTTATTTATGGAAGTTATTTCTGTTCAGTCGCTGGCTTTTCATAACAAGAGAGCTGAACTGAACGGTCTAATTGGAATTGGAGAAACTTGGATATATTTCCAATCAAATAAGCTTTAAATTCATGCTCATTTTCTAAATTTCGCGTCTAATGTTTTGTATTCCGACTGTGTCTGTAAATTTTATTTATCGTTGTTAAATTATTCATAATATGCTGCGTTTTCCACAAGATGGAAGCGCTCCTCGAATGCCATATAATTACGCTAATTGCGTCAGAATAAGATTTTCTCACAAATAGTTTAACTTGCGTACATTAGTGGATGGAAACGACAGAATTCCGAAAGCCAGAATTGTTTGTGGCGTGACACACTTTGAAGAATTTCTGTTGATAATGCGTATCTTTTACCTTTGATTTAGGACTGCAACTTATCTTTTGGCATTCTCATCGAACAAATATTTTCGTAGAACACTCGAACTATATACCCATATCTGTTTTCCAGTATTTTTCATATTTAGCGAGTTTATAATAACTTGCTAGGCGAACAGTTTCAATTCCTGAATTAAGGCCACTGTCGGTATCTTATTTGATTCAGAAATTGGATGTGGGCAGTCTCCATGTAGGTGGAGGCCTCACGAGACGACGGTTAGGTTTTCACTATTCACACTCTGTAAATTCAACCCTGATGCCATTAGAATTCAGTGCAAATTTCGTTCTGTCGAGTATAATACAAATTTGGTGAACAGTCTGAATTAATTACGCACGTTGGTCCAATCGTTTGTCACGTACCTTGCCAAATATAGCGCTAAGTATAACGTCCACACCTTGTATGGGTGTCCTTCGGGAAGGAAGAGGTGTGAGTGAACTCGGATACAATATACATGACTCGTGGACAATTGATTTAACTTTTTGTAATGCAATTCGGAAACTTCCGACGTCCGCTCTTCTACTGCTACGAAAAGTGCATCGACCTAGAAATGTGAAGATACTGCCATGCCGGCGTGGCGTCGTTACCGCGTTGCGCAATAACGATAGCTTTGTTTTTCTCATAGTTATCTTTACTCTTTAATATTCAATGTCAGCTATGATAAAATGCACCGTGACATTCTGATGTTGTTTGGGTGTTTTTATTTTTCTCATTATACAATCTAGTTACGTTCGTAAAAGATTACACTATAATTAACCACTATGTAGACTAAAGATGAAAATAATTATTTTGAATAGCGTCAACAATAAACGATATGTGACAATCATTATTATAAATTCGTTAATTACTGATATTCATTATGAAATAAGGAAAGACAATAATTATTAGGTGCATCTTTTCCATGGCAAAACGTTTAACTCCTGAGTCACCATTATGAATTGCAGTTTATTTGTGTTTAGTGAATCACTGGTAGGTAAAAGCTCTACTGTTGCGTCGCTGAAAAGGAACTGGTGTATTTTTGGCAATCTCTCCCAGGTCGGTGCAGAATCATCACTGGCCATATGTTTTGACAGTGATGGCTGAGCATCGTTAGCAAAGGTGCTTCGCCCATTAACATGTTGTCACTCATTCGATCCTCTTTCACCCTTTATTGCAATCGATTATTTATCGGAAAGAATGAAATAATGTTCAATGTATGAATCGGAGTAAACGATAATTAATGATCAAGCAATTTATTTAACTTGCGAGTGATTTTGTTTGAAATTTGATATTTTACACGCGGACTCAATGCGGATTGGTCAAAGGATTTTTGATGAGGATTTTTTTGACAAAAATAATGCCGCATTCTCTACCTAATCAGTTAATCTATAGCAGTGCAGTAGCAAATCGATCGAATTGACAAAAACCGATTCAAATTCTTTATAATTAATTCAGTGTCGAATGTCTACTTGGTATATTTATTTCTTGTTTTTTTTTGTCTACTTAGTAGTTAGAATTGGTGAGGTTTCGTCTTTCTCTATTTATTACTACGGTGATAGAAATATATCAAAAACTTAATGTAGTTTCGAACGTCTAGACTTCATCGATGAAGCAGCAATAAAAACCTGTCAAGTCTAACTCCAACATTCATTTGTAATTTTAGCTATTAGCATGAAGTTTATCCTAATCTTCTTTTAAGCTCCTAAAGTGTGCATAATTTTTAGCTCATTAGATATTCAATGTCTGAGACCATTGTGACAATCACAACATAGATATCATTAATATCGTATTTTTTTTCTAAGTGAGTCACATGGCACGCGCCAGCGCATATGGTTTTGACAGGTCACGCCTCAGTTCGTGCGTATCCGAAATAGTTATTTATGGACTGATTATACGATTTATTATTATTGTTTTATTGAAATTATGATCTTCTGCATGAATTTTATCAGTTGTTTGTACTTAGTAAAATTGTTTTTGTGTTAATAGTTACGAGACGTGACGATGATTGCGTTCTTTGTGTTCATCTTTTTTCTTCTCCGTCCGTGTGGTACGAATGGTAGTCTCAACTAATTTGTCCAAGACGAACAATTTGAATTGTGGTGAAGGTAAATACAGTAATTTAGAGGAGTAAATGAAATTTGCAATCATTTCTTAATTTAGTTCTCCGCTATTATTCTTTCACCTTTTCGGGTTAATATTTTTCATGTCATATTACATGTTAATAAGATTTCATATTCAAAAGTCATCTTTAATCATAGTATAAGCTATGATAACAACACGGTTATTTTAAGCTTATATTAATAAACTAGAAATCTTAATATTTCAAGCTTATTTAAAATCTTAATCTGCGCTATAAACTTACATAATTTGAATATTAACCTTAACAATGTAAACATCGTTAAATCATTTCTTATATTACGACCATAAAGTTTTTACGTGTACCGCCAGTTATTTGCAATTTACTGAAATAATAATAAATAGTAACACGTATAGCTACAAAGTTGCGGCAGATTCAATGTATTTGATAACCCAGTTTGGTGGAAAATGTCTTTTTCCATCATCATTTGCTGCAGATTGCAAAGGTGGCTGTAATCAATGTATGATTGTCTTTATTTCCAGCAATCCGCAGAGGCACAGAAAACCAGCCCACCAAGAAGGCACGTGGTGACGGCACCGCGGGCGACGGTACGGGCGGTGGGCGGGACCATCTCGCGTACGGCTGCTTACTGAGGAACGAACTCTTGGGTGCGGAGATCGAAGAGCTGAGAGGGCCCCCCAACAGTTGCGCAGAGGGCAATAGGGCAGCCTTGGGCGCGGTGCAGTTGGCTTCGGCCGCCAAAGCCGCTCTGGCATACTCCCCACCAGTGTTCAGATTCAGAGCGCCTGGACATAAATCAGAAGTAAGTGCTTGATTACTTTCCTTAAACAATGCAGTGACCAGAAATACGTTTAGTGACGGTCCCGCTACAATGTCTGCCAGTTTCAGCTTCATCACTTTTCATTTCATGATTTCTAATATATAAGCTGAAATTATTATTTGTTTACACATCTGTATTTATATGATGGGTATGCAGGTATACTTGTATCACTCTCGTTTCAATATTTATTATAAAGCATTTGTTTTTTACGGGAAGGTAGATTTAATAGCCCATAACCATGCTATTGAGCCATCAAGCAAGACCGAAATGAAACACTTTTTAGTACTTTAAATTATTGAACATTCCAATATCAATTAATATGTTTTCAACGTAAATTAGCGCCGCCATTGCTGGAATAAAATTTGGCATAAAGTTTTAAAAGTTGCAAGAGTTATTTTGGTTCTCGATCTTCTTAATAAAAGGATGGCGTGTTATTTCTAATTAGCATCTTTTATCTGAGATTGTAAAATGTATCGTCAATGAACGATAACTCGGCATATACGATTGTCGAATTGCGTCCCAAATTTTATTGAATGTTCATAAAATTAAATCGAGGTGGGTGTAATTACCAATTCACAGGATGCGCGCACGACAAAATAAATGTCTGCTTTTTTTGTTCAATGTCCGTTTTATAATTTTGTGTAGCTCACACAAAAATATAAAACTTACACTGGTCCGCCGATAAATTTCCGTCTTCATTTCAAGATTGCATTTGATCACCACAACAGAAGAAGTCTTTGATGGCAAAACAATATTTATGATCACATCATTTTGACGTATTTGAAGAATAAGAAGTCTCCACACAGCGTTGAGTTATTTTGGTAATTTACGACGAGACACATTCTTAATTCTCACTTCTTTTTATTCTTTGGTCGTTTGCGCCAGGTTATGCGTTCGCCGAATTCATGTATGCCGACCGACCGATCGAAACCGCTTCAAATTATTGAACTTCATTAGTATTAAAAACAATTATTTTATCGTTTTCAAATGTTGGGTGGTATTTTAAAATGGTCATACGGTTCGCATTGGACGCTCTTTGGTCAGTGTTTACCGTTGAAGCCATCTTTAAATCTGTAGTTATTAAATTGATTTTGGCAATATCTGAACGTATTATCGCGTAAAGTGGCTGGATAATGTGCACGCGACGCGCACTTGACAGCAATGGGCGGTATGTAAGCACCTTAAATGCGAAACTTATTGTAAACAACGGCATTTGGATTTTATTGTGGGGTCATGTGGGCATCACCGCTCAAGTGTTACATTTGCATAATGTCGGCGGAATATCGAGACAAGTGTCAGGTATCCTCTTTCGATAAACTCTTTATTGCACGCGTAAATTTGCACACGTGCGGATTTGAGGGGTTTTCTCGTGATTTTGTTTCGTTTAAATAAAAATAGCCTGACATGAAAATATGTATTAATTTAAAAAAAATATTATTCTAAAAAATATGGCAGTAAAAAGATGGTCATTTTACTTAAAATCATTCTGTTTTTATCTAGATCTAGGCAAAGTACTTATTTAAACTTGCATTCAAAAAATCAGGCAAACGCTATAGGAAAACAGTTACTTATTGATAAAACACTAAAAATTGAATTAGGTATAAAGGTATATAAAATCAATATCAAAAATGATAACGTCATATTATTATTTTGTAAACTATCATTATTCAAGCTTCCGCACTTGGTCGGAAAGAGCGCGCGCGCACGTTTTGCCAAATTGCTGATTCCGATCGGCTTTGATTCTTTGAAAGGATACACCGCGCTGCGGTGTCGACATAGGATCGACTTCAACGCCTTTCTCGTAATGTCAAAACAATCAATTAGCAACTTTTCTGCCACCAAAGGTGTCATCGGACACGCGACACGAAATACTTATATTTACATAAGCAAATAAACCGCGATTTGTTTATGAATTTATAAGTACTTGTCTGGTTTTATTAGGGTTCCGTATCCAAAGGGTAAAAACGAGACCCTTTTACTCCATTGTGCTTCTGTCTGCCACCAGGCTTTATAATATCATGAACCGTAATAGATAGACTGTTGGAATGTTGTTTTTTTCTCGATTTGAATATTTTTTAATAATTCAGAATTTTATCATTATTTATCTTGAAAATTGTTCTTAACATCATTACAAACAGAAAAGTAATTAAGTGCTTTTAATGGATAGGACAACGACCAGAAAAGTGTATTGTGCCGTGCATCTATTTATAGCCTTTGTATTAATTTAACGGAAAAAAGTTTAAATCCCAATAATGTTTACTAATATCATTATCCTTTCAGCGTTTAGCGAGCGAGTGTCAATGAGGATGCGCTAATTACAGCGGCATACATCCTCATATTAAAAAAATACAATTCATTTCGTAAGCAATTTATATTTGGACGCTTTACAATTTTCGTCGTAAACGTCCATTTCTGATTTTGTAAACTATTGCAAAAATTGTTGAAGCGTCTTAGTAAAAATGCATCTTTCGTGTAAAATAAGTTTTGTGTTTCTTGAAAATCCTCTCCAGATTACCTTTTCACATAATTGGACACTGTAAGTAGTACAAGGCGAATTAAAAAAAAATATAGTTGCCTCTAAGTTAGTACGGACACTCTTTGCGTAAGTGTATATTATCTATTTAGTGTTACTATATCACAATAGGGATGATGGCTAACTTTTGTTTTCTTCGTCTATCAAGTAGATTATCGAAAAGTATTGGAAACATATTTTTTTCTTTTTTCTTCTATTTAAAAATTACTAAGATATATTGATTTGAAATATATTTTTGTGATATCGCATGATGTCACGTCTTGATACAATTTTTACTAGGAAGTGACGTCACGAGCCCCCACCCCAAACTTTGACGCGCTTCATCTCTGCCATTTTTTGTTTTATTGTCAAAAGAAAGAATAAGTGTCCATATTTTTTTGATAATCTTACTAACGGACGAAATAGGGTAAAACTGTACCTCCTGGGCCCATGAGGATACTTGATATTTTTTTGTTGAACACGGTCTCTAATAACATTTTTTTTTCTGGTCGACACATTAACCTAACCTAGTGTGAAGTATCACCTCTTTCGCCAAGGAAGTATAGTATATCCCTAAATAGAATTTCATTTACATTTTTTCATCATCCCTAATGTGCTGTATAGGAAAATGTTGACTGCATAGTAATTGACTATGTAATAAATAAATAAATGTAAGACGATATGCTATTTCCTTAAAACGTACATGTATCTGCTTGTGTAGGTTGACTCAATACGTACTTTCCTCAAAACTTATTTTGAATAACAGCTAGGTATTTGTCATTGCATATTCATTTTTGCTCGTCAATATACACATATAATGGTGATCGGACACAATGGCATTGTTTTTCAATACGCAGTATTTGTCCGATCATTTGTCTGTCTGACTGACATCACTCAGACGCGACAACGACCTAAAATAAATTATTAAAATTTTGAACCTAGACGCTTCATAAAAGAAAAAAACGCCATTCGACCGCTGCGCTGCCCGCGCTCTTTAAATTATTCAACTTTTACGATGTGCTTAGGCTTCAAAAAGTATATTAATATAAAATGTACCTGCCTTGTTACTGGGAACGGTTCAAAAAACTTCACTTAGTAACATTGAGCGTAATAAATAACTATATAGTGCTATCTGCATCTGAAGTGGTAGATATTTTACGCTGGGAGCAACATCGTGTGGTATGTATGCTACAAATTGTGGCATGCAGCCAATGTGACACGCGTTTCCTTGTTGCAGGGTACGAAATGCGAATGCTCTTATGTGGTTTATTTTACATTCAAGCTGCTACAGATCTATGCAGGTATACGGTATAAGCGGATTCACGATTTTGTTGCCTCAGTAAAATTGTTAAGGTCCTTAGCAAAACAGACAAACAAATGAAAAAATCCGCTTAAGGGGCCAATCATTATCTAATCTACCCTAGTATATAATATAATATAGTACCCACTAAGAGGATATTAAGAAAATAATAAAAGAATAGGGTTGAGTGCATTTCTTTTTTCTTATTATGTTTGTGTCTCTGTCATAGAAGTTATGATATAGGTACAGTTAACATGCATTGTAAGATCTTACGATGATTATAAATATGATAATGTTTCTACGAGTACTCTGCTGACAAACTGCGTTGCAGTTCGGCAGATTATATGTATTTTTAGGGTTCCGTAGTCCTGACAAGGAAAGGAACTCTTAAAGTTTCGTCATGTCCGTCTGTCCGTCCTTCCCCGGTTTTCATTGTCTACCCCATTGTGTGGGATATCGTTTAAAAAGTCCTTTAAAATAACTTAGGGGTTTCTAAGACTATATTTATCGATTTTGCGATCGTTTCGAAATATTGAAGTTGTAGTGCTAATTTTTGTTTGTGTAGGGGGTCCCCCTTCCCTCTAAAAGCTAAACTATTGGCATTGAGGACCTGGAAATTATTATGCTAATAGTGCTTTTCATGGATATTTAAGGAAAATTATAACGGTTAAAATTATATTTGTTAGTTTAAGTGTAATAGTCGTTCAAGTTATGTATAAAAAAAAATTTTTAGTTAATAAAAAATCCTTAGAAAAAAAACATTAATAGTGACTCAGACGAAGTAGTTGCTTAAATTATAGACTCTGTAAAATATACTGTGGTGACGACGAGCAACTACGGAACCCGGAACGGAACGCGTGGCACGACACGCACTTGGCCGGTTTATTTAATGTCAATTTTTGCTAATGAAATTAAAAAAAAAATATAAAAAAAGAGAACCTTACCGCGAAAGATCGGACGAATGCAAACAGAGAATATGTATTTGTTACTAGTATTTTATTAGTAACTAGCGTTCGCCCGCGACTTTGTCCGCGTTAACTTGAGTTTTTGAGAATCCCACGGGAACCTAACATTTTTCCGGGATAGTAAGTCAGCATCCTATATCCCCATCCACTAATATGCGTACCAAATTTCATCCAAATCCATTCAGTAGTTTTTGCGTGATTGAGT